AGCATATTATCAACCAAATTTTTGATGAGAATTAAAAAGTAGTACTTTTTTCTTGCATCTGAATGTATGACTATTGCCTCCATAACCAACAAACTTCCCCCTAACACTCCACATAAAGATGCACAGTGACAGAAGTTGGAGAAGAAAATGCTCAGCATGGAAATGTAAATCAGGCCCAACAGCTGCCAGGAGATCCAAACCCAGATGCTGTCAAGAACTACAGAGGTAGTGCGACTGAGTTAAGTAGACTGTAAAACAAAGAACAAGAGTGAGAGGGTGATGAAAGGCAGCTGCTTTCAAGGTGTACCTACTACCCACCCAGGAAATCACAGCATTCAAGATCGTGATTCATGTCGATGTATGACAACACCTGCTACAATACTGTAAAGTAATTAGCCTCCAACTAATAAAAATTAAAAAAAAAAAAAGATCGTGAAACAGGTGTGGCCATATTTTTTGATTGTTCGAAGGCACCAGAAACCCAGATTTTTTTTAAGTAAAATTACCCCTAAATTGGCAACAATTATAAAAACAAACAACAACCCAGTGTTAGTCCAGTATTAATACAACATGTTGTAGTTGTTTAGCCACTAAGTCATGTCTGACTCTTTTGCAACCCCATGGACTGTAGCCCACCAGGCTCATCTGCCCATGGCATTTCCCAGGCAAGAATACTGGAGTGGGATGCCATTTCCTTCTGCAGGGGGTCTTCCCCACCCAGAGATCAAACCTGCATCTCCTGCATTAGCAGGCAGATTCTTTACAACTGAGCCACCATGGGAAGCCCAAGACAACATGAAAGGTTGCTAAGTAGTGATCTTTGGAACACACAGTAAGGTTGGCGGAGTGCAAAAAAAATTCTAAAAAAAACTTCTTAAAACTGAATCTCCATTTCACACCCACTTTTAGTAACTGAATTTCTTTCTTAATCAGAGTGTCTGAGTACTTAATTAATGATCACACCAGATAGATGAAAAGCTCAAATGTAAAAACAACCCCAAAAGCAGAGGAAAATATAAATGAAAATGTATCCAATTCTTAGTTTGGAGATGACTCTAGTCACAATAATTAAAGAAATCACAGAATTTTTGTATCTATAATTTTACAAAACTAAAAACATCAAATATGAAAAATTTCTCGTGACCAAAACTGAATGCAAAATAAAACCTGGAAAATATCTGAAGCCAACATAGCAAAGGCTAATAATTTTTATTCTTAAAAAAAAAAAAGTTTTCACAAACTATTAAGAGTTACAAGAAGAATGAAATCCAACTCCTTATGGACAAAAATAGCTTGCTTCTGCCAGTTCCTAATACAAAGCAATTACCCTGTGGGACCAGGGCTCAGACATCCGCAAAACCACAAATGGGGTTATAAGTGGGAAACATACACAGTTAAATGAGTTCTCAAAAAAACTTTAAAAGCACCAGAGGAAATCAAGTACCACAAAAGACCCAACAAATAGAAGAATTCATACCCAAGGAACCGGATCGTCAAATATGATAAGAATTTTCAAAATTAATTATATTGAAATCATCAAAAAGATAAATGAAGGAATACATCCATAATCAAAGAGCCAAGCAGGAAAATACGATAAAAATCAACTGCAAATCTTGGAAATGAAGCATATAGTCACTGGTATTTTTTAAATGCCCTAAACAGTATAACTGAGACAGCTGAAAATAAAATCAGTGATTTGAAATCCAGTATTATCCAAGAATGCACCATTAACAAATTAAGATACAAAATTTGCAAATCTAAAAATTCTCTCCCCACAAAAATTCACATATATATTCACATATATACAGTTTTATGAATAATTTCAGGAGGTTCCCAGAGTTCCTGAAGCCCAAATTCTACTCTAGAATTCTGAACACAAAGTATTTCATGATCATCTGAAATCTGTCCGATTCTTTGTACACAACACAATACTGGTTTCAAGGTTCAGGAAACAGCCATTATATTTGAATTAAGATCAAATTAAAGAGCAACCATACCAAATGTAAGCCAATTAAATCTGAACAAAAGAGTGAAACATCTAAAAAACACCTTTCTCCAAAGAAAGCACCCATATGGCTAAAAAGCACATGAAAAGATGCTCAGCCACTAATTATTCGACCAAAACTACAAATAAGATATCACCTCACACTGGTCAGGGGGTCTTCCTGGTGGCTCAGACGGTAAAGAATCCACCTGCGATGAGGGAGACCTGGGTTCGATCCCTGGGTTGGGACTATCCCCTGGAGGAGGGGATGGCAGCCCACTCCAGTATTCTTGCCTAAAGAATTCCATGGACAGAGGAGTCTAGTGGGTTACATTCCATGGGGTTGCAAAGAGTTGGACACGACTGAGAGACTCATTTTCACACTGGTCAGAATGGCCATCATCAAAAATCTGTTACGCAAACAATAAATGCTGGAGAGGTTGTGGAAAAAAGAGAACACTCCTACACTGAAGGTGGGAATGTAAACTGGTACACCCACTATGAAGAACAGTATGGAGACTCATTAAAAAACTGAAAATCCATACCATAAGATCCTGCAGCCCCATTCCTGGACATATATCAGGAGAAAACCATAATTTGAAAAGATCCATGTTCTCCAGGGTTCACAACAGCACTATTTACAACAGCCAGGACACCGAAGCAACCCAAATGTCCATCAACAGAGGAACAGATGAAGAAGACGTGGAACACAGACACAATGGATTATCACGAAGCCACAAAAAAGAGAAGGAAATGATGCCACTTGCAGGAACATGGATGGACCCAGAAATTGTCGAACTGGGTGAAGCAAGTCAGACAGAGACAGACAAACAATCATACGACAGATATTATATGTGGAATCTAAAAAAAAGGGTACAATTGTACAAATGAACTTATCTACAAAACAGAAATAGAGTTACAAATGTAGAAAACAAAGTGACGGTTATCAGAGGTAAGGGCAAGGGATGCATTGGGAGGTTGGGACTGACATACATACATGACTAGATATAAAATACATAACTAATAAGGAGCCATTGTACAGCACAGGGAACTCTCCTCAATATTCCGCAGTGGCTTAAATGGGCAAAGAATCTCAAAGAGTGGAGATAGATATATATATAACCGATTCACTTCACTGTACGCCTGAAACTAACACAACACTGTAAATCAACTACACTCCAATAAAAAAAAAAATTTTTTAAGATAATACAAAAAAAAACCTGAACAAGAAATGAAACCCACAAAGAAAGAGTCCTGAATCCTGCCCAATATTTTCTGCTGTAAAACTCAGGTAAGATGAAGATAATCAGTAATTGTCACCAGCAGATATGACTCTAGTGTGTATTAAAATTGGTCAATGATTATAAAATAATTATCATTTTCAATGTTGACATTAATGTTCAGAATGGTTGGAGAATACAGATTATGTGTAATAGGCAAAAACCATTTTTTAAATAATGTTAATGATCCGTATGGGGGAAATTTGAAAGAAGCTGAATTGCTCTGAATTAGAAAAGGATGAGAGATAAAGAGCCTGAGAGAAAAAGTCGAGAGAAATTGCCTAGGATAAGGGGAGTTTTAGAAGCCAAGCTGGAAAAGAGCAGTAAAAGAAAACCCAGTGAGTGGAGCAGAGTAATTCGGGGTGAGCTGAACAGAGCTGTATAATGGCAATATTGGAGATCCATGCTGTGAGCTGCATGATGCAGGCCCACAATACCTTCAGTAAAATCTACATACTGCTCTTTTATAAAAAAGAATAGGAGTGGGAGAGGCAATGAAGCACCGAGTTCTCCTTCAAGGTTGGTCTAAAGTAATTACAGAGAAGATATGGAAAGCTAGCCAAAATCTGTATTATGCAAGAAGGATTTAAATTTGCTTTTTACAGTGAACCTAAAAAATGTTTGGTCCGCATCAAAACTTTGATGGAAGCCAGCTCTCTTACAGAGGTTCTGAAAACAAAAAAGTCTTCCTTAAAACACACTTGACATGTTTCAGAACACAGAATTCAAAGGACATACTGAATATCTTCCGTTTAAGAGGGCTAAGATCTTTGGAAAGTAAAATGGCTTCTCTGATGAGAATTTAGAAATAAACTTGTCTTCCTGAACATTTTAAAAATACTTTCTGTATAAAGATTCTTTCAGGATGTATATTTCCATAGGTTTTCTTCAAGCTGACCTTGATGGTGGAGAGAAAGTACCTTGGTTGAAGATCCTTCAGATATTTAGATACATATTTTTATCTTCTCTATTTTCACGTCACTTAAAAAGTATACAAATGATGTCGTCTTGAAGTTCACAATTTTATAAGAAGATTGCCCAGCTTGAAATAGTAAATTTCAGCCACAACAGATCAGGTTCCTTTGAAAGGCAGCCACATTGCAAACGAGAAATACCCCTGTTCCAGTTTTTCACATTCTTCTTTTGGTGTACATGCTCTGTACTTGAAAACATAACTGTGTATGAATCTGTCTCATCACAAGCCATCTCCCTCATAAGATGACAGAGCATTTATGCATGAATCTTGGTCTCCCCTCAAAACACGTTTCTCTTAAGGAAGACATTGAAAGACAAGTTTTCAATCTCTGCAGGCCACCTATGCTTTTTCTTCTCAGAGTGAAACTTTCTGGCCTGGCACATTCTATTCCTAATTAAAAGCAGCAAAGATGAAAATACCTGGCAGAGAAGACTGTGATCATAAAGGCCTTCACTGATGAAAACGCTTTCTTCATATTCACAAAATAAAATTACACCGAAATGAATTTTGAATCAACATTTCAAGACTTCATGATGATTATATTTTAAAGCACAGAAGTATAAAAACTATGGGTACTAAAATCTTGACTGATAAATATAAATACTGAATATGTTCCACAAAATTTTTAATGTATTATTGTCAAAACATAATGTTTAGGAAAATATGTCACTGAGAAAAACATACAACATTAACATTTGCCAAAACAAAATGACACTGAAGAAATCAAAACCAAAGATAATAATTTTTAAATGCCACTCACCAATCACAATTGAAGACTCACAGTGATAATAGCCACTACTTTGCTTTTTCTTCAGCATGGAGCAAAGATCTATATAATGTGCCACTTCTTCTCCAAATCTATGGCTGATAAATTTTTCATACAGTTTTGGGTCTATTTTTTTCACTCCCTTGAAATGACAAGACAAAATCACATCAATCAATCATTTCATTTAGGCAACCAATTCATATCTTTATCACTTTCTTAGAACCTGACAGTACATTTTGATATGCAGTGCTGCCTATTGGCATCTGAAAATGGATACCACAAAATTGCTGTAAAGTTGTTTTTAAAGTCTCTCTGCCTGGAATGAGTTGTATTTTTTTTTTAACTGAAGAGTGTTGAGCAAAAATAATAAGGTATACCAAGTTGAAATCTGAGATATCAAGGAAAGAGTAATCATTTCCAATGACAATGGAGAAATGGGAGAATTTTTCAGTGACATGGAACGTAACATTTTATAGTGTGTAGAATGTAACGTTTGCATCCATTAATAAATGAATGTAATTTTTAAACTCCTTATGGAAGAATCATCTGAAAGGCAATTAAAGGCCATTCCAACTGGAGTCAATAGGTCTTTCAGGTTTTGCTCTACCTGCCCCTCCAGATTCTGTGTGCTTCCACAGTAGAAAGAGGGCCTGTTGTTGAAAAATTAGTAACTTGCTAGTTCCCCCAAACACGGGAAAGAATGCCTCCCTCTCCCCTCACTATACATGGTCCTATACCTGCCTCACAGTCCCAAAACACAGTCATCGAGATGAAGATATAGTACTTTACAGGGCAAGTTTACTAGCTGGCCATGTCCAAACTTTTCCTTTAAATGTATATATATGTATATATATTTACATTGCCCTGGAAATACCTGTCATTTCTAAAACTCAGAAAATATAAAGAATATAGGAAAAAAAAGAAAATGAAACCTCATTCATGACCTGTTACTTATATATTAATAAAATACATTAACACTGTGGTATATATATCCTTCAAGTCTTTCTCTATGTATGTATGTTATTTTCAAATTATACTTATATAAATCCTACTAAAGTATAATTAGAATATGTACTCTTTTTATTCACAAAAATCACAAAAAAATTTTAAATGCAGATAGAAAAAAACTTAAAATCACTCCAAACTACTACTAAAATTTTATGTATTTTATTTTTCCTATGCATGAGTTGTGCCATGAGTACTATTTGATAATCAGCTTTTTTCAGTTAATATGTCATATTGATAAGTAATAAATGTGAAAGTATTTTTATATTTTCACAGTATTCCATTGTATGGAGATATAATTTATTCACTCAATTCTTTATTGTTGAACATGTCAGGGAGTGAGGATCCCACATGCCTCAGCAAAAAAAAAAAAAAAAAAAGATAGGTATATATATATATATAAAACATGTTTTTGTTGAGATATGTGTTTCAACTGAGCTCCTGATCTTTCCTAAGCACTTCACCCAGACTTCCCCACCTCAGGTAACAGCAACCATGTTCGACTTGATCAGGCTGAAAACCTGGGGGCCATCCTTGATTCTCCTCTTTCCCTTAGCCCTACTTCCCAACCCTATCACGTTGGCTCTGCCTTCAAAACACACCCAGTTCTCCCCACACCCTGCCACCTCTGACCAAGCACTTCCGTTTCTTTCACCTGGGTTATCCCAAAAGCTTCCTGACTGTTTTCCCACTGTTTTCTCTTTGGAAGTCAAAGTGATCCTAAGAAAACATACACCCAGATCATGTCATCCCCTGTTCAAAATTCTCCAAAGGGTCTCCCTTTCTCTCAGAGGAGCCAACCTGCCCCAGGCAGCCTGCAGGGCCCTGATCTGCCGTCCCTGGGCCTCGGGGTCTCATGCCCACCACTCTCAGCAGCCTCCCCAACCTCCTCGCGCGCCCGTGAGCAAGCCCAGCAGAGCCTGGCTCACAGCGCCTGTGCTGCCTCTCCTCGCTTCCTGAGATGCTCCTCCCCCAGACACCTTCATCGTCCATCCCCATCCATTAACTCTCTGCTCAAATATTACTTTCTTAATAGGGCTTCACTTTTTATATAAAAAGGTGCCTAAGAATTGATGCTTTTGAACTGAGATGCAAGAGAAGATTCTTCAGAGCCCCTTGGACAGCAAGGAGATCAAACCAGTCAATCCTAAGAGAAATCAACCCTGAATGCTCAGTAGAAGGACTGATGCTGAAGCTGAAGCTCCAATACTCTGGCCACCTGATGCAAAGAGCTGACTCACTGGAAAAGACCCTGATGCTGGGAGGGATTGAAGGCAGAGGAGAAGAGGGTGGCAGATGATGAGATGGTTGGATAGCATCACCGACTCAACGGACACGAACTTGGGCAAACTCCAGGAGATAGTGAGGGGCAGCGAGGCCTGGTGGGCTGCAGTCCATAGGGTTGTAAAGAGCCAGATACGACTTAGCAACCGAACAACAACAGGGCTTCGCTTAACCACGCCATCCCTCCTCCTGCAGCAGTCCTCCCAAATCCTATCTTTCTCCCCCATACATACTTACGTTTCTCCATAGCACTTACCACCTTCTCACATACTATGTAGTTCATGTTTATGTTCAGTCTGTCTTTAGCTGTCTCTCTCCATTAGAACTGGAGAAGGAAATGGTAACCCACTCCAGTATTCTTGCCTGGAGAATCCCATGGACAGAGGAGCCTGGTGGGCTACAGTCCACGGGGTCACAAAGAGTCGGATACAACTGAGCGACTTCACTTTCTTTTCTTTTTCTCCATTAGAAAAGGAGCTCCACAAAAGGATTTCTGTCTGATTTTTATTCTCTGAAATATCCTCAGTCCCTTATAGCTTATGGGCTTCCCTTATAGCTTAGTCAGTAAAAAAATCTGCCTGCAATGCAGGAGACCTAGGTTCAATTCCTGGGTTGGGAAGATCCCCTGGCGAAGGAAAGAGCAACCTACTCCAGCATACTTGCCTGGAGAATCCCATGGATAGAGGAGCCTGGCAGGCTAGAGTCCACAGGGTCACAAGAGTCAGACATGACTTAGTGACTAAACCAGCACCACCATCCTCAGTCCCTAGAACAGCACTTGACATGAATCAGGGCTCGATAAATAACTGTCACAAATGCAAAGGAGGATAAAGTTTCAAGAAGAGGATTGTTGACAACATCAAATGCTATTCATTCAGAGTTCAGCAAGAAAGAAAATGAATGGATTTCTTTTGATCTGGTGAGCAGATTTGATTCTGGTGAGCAGAAGTCCATGAGGGACAGCCGAGCCTAATGCCGAGGGTCAGCCAGTGCATGAGTGCATGCACTCATGTGCAAGTCCCGGCCTGGCTACTCCTCAGCCACCTGGCTTCATTTCAGGTTCCTCATCTGTAAAATGAGGCTAACAATCATACCTACCTCTAAGTGCTATATGCACTAAATGAGTCGATTTATAAAAGTGCTTAAAACAGTGAAATATGGTAAATGCTATAATATATTATAGACAATTATTAGTAGCAAAGACTAGTGAAAATCATAGGCAAGATCTTGGGGGCGGGGGGGAAGTTCTGAGTAAATGGAAACTGACCATCTTATTTCTCTTTCAAATGCTTTTTCATTTGTGTGTGTTTGTGTGGGGATGGGATGGGGAAAGGGTGTCATTCATTCCCTTTGAACAGACAAAAGATTAGTGATAACTTAGCAGAAAAATCAAGACCTTCAGTTTTCAAGATACCATTGCCAGCATTGTATGGCCACTATAATCTCCATTTCAGTTTTGTAAGATGTCATTATTTTTTTTTTAATAAGGAATAAAGGAAACATAAAAGTTACTCTAATCCGTTAGGCTAATTAATTCAATTTTAGCAAAAAGTAAGTACCAACTGTTTTGCAAGAATTCTCCACAGATGACTTCCAACATGAATCTTAAGGAGCTATTTTTCACTGGAGAGTGAAATGAACTTAGTTCTTTTAACCCATAACTTACAGAGAGAGCTGTGGTTCAAAGAGGCAGGAGAACTTAGGATGCACTAAAGTTATATGCTCTGATCAGAAAATATCTTCAATAATAAAAGTATCCAGAACAGATGCTGTGTCTGGTAGATAATATTAGCATGGTCCTTGTTCTCCAGGGAATTTTTTGTTTGACAATATATTTTGCAGGACTTTTTTTAGGCTCTTTTGTTCCTTGGAAATATATTTCTTTTCTAGTAAAATCTATGTGAATTAGTTTCACTATCCAGCTGGTATTTCTCCTTCATAATAAGGAAATGACTTTCATTCAAAGAAAATAAACAAGTACATCAAAACTGGGTATCTATAGAGTAAGACTAAGCAGCCTCTAATTTTCCAAATGGATACACTGGGTTGCCAAACTAGTACCAGAGACATCAGACTGGAAAGCTATATTTTAAAGCTAAAAAGGGTGGTTTTCAGGTTTTGGACCACAAATTAGTCTTTGCTTCCCTTCTTCATAGGCCAGACCCTTTCCAAGGTACCTCATCATTTAAAGAAAAGATGGAAGTTTAACATGCTGTTGTTGTTGAGTCTTTAAGTCATGTCAGACTATTTATGACCCCATGGACTTAGCCCACCAGGCTCCTGTCCATGGGACTTCCCAGGCAAGAATACTGGAGTGGGTTGCCATTTCCTTCTCCAGCGGATCTTCCCCACCCAGGGATGGAACCTAGGTCTCCTGCATTACAGGCGGATTCTTTACCATCTGAGCCACCAGGGAAGCCCATAACATATTAGGAGAGCGCAAAGAAAAGCCTCAAGAATGGTTAGAGGCAGGAAAATCTGACCTGTAAAGGCTGAGAGAGTTGGCATTCTTTCAAACAACCTGTAGGGTATCTTCAACAAAACCACGCTAAGGGTGCTACATCCTGGAATGCTGAATATGCCTGGTGACTGTCTAGTACGATGCTTGAAAATTATTTTTGCCTTGGACCTAACAGGAACAGGGTGTATTTTTAAGGCTTTGTATTGATAACTGTAACCAATATAACTGACTTATCAATTATACATCATAACACTGAAGGAGAAAATAGGAATTTAAAGACAGAATGTCACACTTTGAAACAATAAATTAGTGGCAAGAACATCAAACAGAATTTTTTCAAGACTATCTTAATTAATCATCAGAAATGACTGAAGTTTCACTTCCCTTTGGCC